TACTGTTTTTTAATAGCTATTTGATATTACTGTAACGTTGAAACAGCAACGTAATGTCTGTTGTCTAATTTCGAATTTTTTTTATATTATTAATTATAGATTTTTTTTCAATTAATACATAAATCATAATACTTAAATATACATACATTATTATTATTAATATAACATTATTTGTATTATAGTGATTGCCGTTGACTTTAGCGGAGTTCAAACGAAGGGGGGGGGAAGGAGGATTCGCCGGTGTAACTGTAAAATAACATAACTTTAATCGATTGCCTAGGGCTATTTTTTTCGGATTTCCTATCGCAATTATTATTATTACTTAAGTCGGCCATTTACCCGTAATAATATTATAGTAGGTACAACATACACATTATACACGGGTCGCCGACAGCCGCATTAACATAAGTAATAATAACGCCGGATTTGTACAGTTGCGCTATTATTACAATGCTAGGCCGTCCGTCGACGACCGTGCCCACGTTTCCGAGGTACCGAAGATCTTTAGATTTTTTAGATTTTTTTTTACATAATATTGTGTAGGAAGTAAAAATGTTTCAAAAGTCAAACTTTCAGTTGTACCTCAATAGTATTTCTAGATGGCCTTTTATTGTTACTAATCTGTTTGCTTACCGTAAACGTTCAGCCATCCTTCGACCCGGCACGGATACACCAGCTTGTTCCGACGTCTCCTACAGCTGCCGACGGCGGCTGTCGGCATTTTGTTGCTGTTGTCGTTCATCTTGGCCGATCACGGACGCACCCGAACGCACATAACACCCGACAAACAAGTAAGTAAGTAAGTAAGTAAATAAGTAAACGAAAAAACGATAATTTTATTCTATTCAAAAAACCTATTAGAAACGTGATCGAATAAAATTTTAAACGGCGACGGCACACGACCGGTGACGGGCTTGCGATGAACGTGACGCGCGGACGCCGGTAACGCGTGAACTGGCTTGCCTGGAAGGCCACTGGGCGCGCGAGGCGGTAGGGCGGCCGCGACGACGCACCTTGCACTTTGTCGCGTCCCATGCGGCGGCGGCGGCCGTGCATTGCGGCCTCTCCCGCCTTCGACGGCACGGCGACCGTTAGGAAAAAAATTCAAAACCGCGCCGCGCCGTGCCGTTTTTTATTATTCCGTTTCCCGTCCGAGTAATATCCGGCGTCCGCTCGTGCCACCCTCCCGCCTCTACGTATGTAGGTCCGGCTGGCCGACGGCTGTTGTTGTACATCCGGACAACCAGACACCCGTGCCGTAACGGACAAATATCAGCTGTGATCGTAGCCGCAATTTAATGAGGGGGGGGGGGTAACTCATGTAAAGTTTCGTCTCTCTACACTCTCCTTTTTAATATTTTAAAATCGATATTTTTTTTTTATTTATTCAATACAATATTTCTTAGGTATTTGACATTAAAAAAAATATATTGATAGTATTGTTTGGCCGCCATTAGACTAGGAGATACGTTTTGTCTTGAAATTATCAACAATTTTCCTTAAGCACTTTACGAAGACGAACAGATGTACACGACCAAAAATATTCCTATCAATTTTTAAGTATAAAAAAACCCAGCAAAGTGGGTTCGAGGCATATTGTGGACTGGGGTGGGAGGAGATCACGGATCTTCAGGAATTATTATAACCGAATGTGATAAAATCACATTCATGATGGTAGAAATAATAAAATCGATAAAAACATGGCTAAGGCGAAAATGTGTTTAAAATTGTTGTTTAAGTATTAAGTGGATACGATTAGGGTTGATTGGGAATTCACCAAAACATAATGAATAATTTCATAGACGATAGACCTGTTGATTGTCGATTCACTGTTAACAGAACGGGTGATAATAAGTACTTAACAGAAAAAAAAACTAAATTCTTGCTAAATTATGATTGTTTTAACTGATTCTTCAGCTTAATCCGTATGAGCTAAAGAGTATATTTTTTTAACGTACATAATAAAGTTGTTTTTAATTTAGCAATTTCGGAGGTGCTGACAAGATTAATAACAACGTTGACAAAAAAAAAAGTGAATCTTGTACTCAAGGGACACTTGCATATTTTTGGTCGGAAACAGCTCATTCTAATTTTAACCGTACTTTGAAAACAGCTGATGTAGATTTTGCAATACTTGCTTAGTGCATCGATTAAAGTGAATTTTGTAATTATAATTTTTAATATTACTAATATTAAACTATATTATTAATATTATTATATTAAAAATATTAAACTCTATTATTAATATTGTTATATTAAAAATAAGTTAAAAATTGTGTCACAATCGTGTTGTGTAAATGTTATGAAGAATTCAAATGTTTCTTTTTAAAACCACAATCTTAGAGTATTCTCAGAAACGTACTGTTAGAAGTTGAAACATATGTTTTTGAACAAAAATAGGGCCTCCTCTGTACGCGTTACATTATTTGAAAAATAGACACAAACCTACCGCTTTGTCGTGTTTACACATTTTAGCTTAACGTTAAGTTTTATTGAAAATCGCCTACACGATACGCGTTAATCATTGATAGTGTTGAGGTTGCTAAGTACAAAAAATATTATACTCTTTAAAATCAATGGCGATAGCAATAAATAATAAACGGTATGTACGCTGGACGTGGGCCAGACTTTGGTTTCCTGAGTGTTTAAAAATGTAGACCTCCGCCGTGGCCTGCATTGCTATTCGGGTCGAGATCTATAAATATGCTTAAATCGAAATCGGGAAAGGTGTGAAAAATAAAAACCAATGAATCCTCCCCCCCCTCCGCTCGGAGCCACCACGATGGATCTGTTTATTCGTTTTACCAATACTAAAAAAAAAACCATTTTTTTTTTTTTTTTAAAAATCACTCCTTGTTCGAAAATTATACGATTAATCGCAGTTACTTATTGTTATAAATGTTATTTACCATATTTTTTAATCATGACCTTTTTTAAGAGAGATTAGAATTAGGGCATTGTAGTTGATCATGTAAACGTTTACACTGGTGATTCGCCTATTCGTGCACTTTAGTCTAATGGGCTATTAGATTTTTTTCCCATATCTATGATCTAATAATCTATGAGTTTACAGTGTACCTTCAGTAGAGTGAGATGCTCGAAACCCGAATTGGTAGTCGGGTAGAATATTGATATTAGATAAAAACGTTTTAATATTAGTTTCTATAATATTTTTGCAAAAAAACGTAATAGCGTACTTTAGTTCTGAAGGATGTGATTAAATCAGAAGGTTTGATTAGATTGGGTTTGATTGGTTTTGGAACTAGAATAATTGTGGAAAACTTTCAAGTTAATGGGAAGCAGGATTGTCTTTTTAATTGGAAAATTGTAAACACACATATTAACACGGCAAACAGGTATGGATTTATTTTTTTATTTTTTATTCAACTTTTATAACGCGTTCAGACGCTTCTTATTTACAAAATATATATGTTTCTACTTCTAAGAGTACGTTTCTAAGAATACCAACTCTTAAGGTTTAAGTTTTGAAGAAAAAAAAACATTTCAATTCTTCATAACATTTACATCACACATAGTACGTACGACCGTGGCACGATTTTAAAATTATACTTAGTTAATTATTTTTATTTGAAAAAACGCAGTTTATTTAAAGATTATTTAATTATTTTGACAACAAACAATGTACTCCGATCAACTGAAAAATATAATTTATCTGTATTCTGTTGTTTATTTCGCTTAAAAAAAAATACCCTAAAGCTAATACTGGTTAAACTTAAAAACCATTTGACACAATCAAGATTTAGTGAAAACATTATTATTTTTTTTACTAAATATAGCCTATATTCTGCCCTAGAATAGTTAGTAATTACTAATTAACATGTGTAGTAGAAACTAGAAACTCATCGTGTATGTATAGGTGTAATGTATACAATTATATTCTTGTTCATCTCACATTTTAGTATTTTAACACTCAGTTTTAATTTTGATTTTACATTTTGTATGGGTGCTTACGATGACTAGTATTATATTATATCATCTAGCACGCGATAAGTCAAGTTAGGTTGAAAGACAATATTCGTTTATGACTATTCTCATCAGTTTGGCACCAGTTAGCGTTGAATTATAACTTATAACTAAGCAAATCGAATGGGGCATAATATGTTTTAAATTTCATAGGAAATTCAAGTAATCCTTATAATTATTTTTTTTTTTTTTAGATAAGACGGGAGGCAGTTTAGGTGTATCAATATAGTCCATTATGATATTATCTAATAACAAGAGAAAATAGGAAGCTATTATACAATTTCCTTTTTTTTGTCGCCTAAATGAACGCTAAAAAAATTTACTTTAAGTTATTGGGTTGAAATAAAATAATGATTGTCAACATGATTTTAGGTACACCATTTCGTTTGAGAGGACTCTAACCATCCATTTAAAGGAGTAAACTATAGGCAATTTTCGCAAAATTGCAACAGTAATGAGGGTTTTTTATTGGTTTTATTTAGTTTTCTGACTATCGCTTAAAAAATTTAATTATTAAAATTGATTAGTCATATTGTATGAAAGTATCTGTATTTTGATTTATTTGATTTGATCTGATTTTTTTTAAAACATTTTCATTGTCTTGGCTGATCAAAAAGTTCATTTTTTTTTCCAGTGATCTGATCACCTAGACATTTATCTTGCTCTCATTCAGAGTTATGCATACGCCTAATAAAAATACATGTTTAAATATTTACATGAAAAAAAAACAGTGCCTATAGACAAGTGATACAATAATTAATGATAACACAGGAAGCGAGGACAAGTATCCTCCGGGTAAACTTTGAATGCAATAAAAAATAGAATGTAAGACTATTGAATGACCGCCTTAAATTGTATGGACGTCTCGAAGGGGCCGTTAATGTTGATCGATATACATTATACTTACTTCTAAGTGTTTTGTGTGCATTCCACAAATCCGGTCCTCAAATCGTGTAGCTGATTAAAAATAAAATATTCTTAAACGTAAAATATTTTATAGAAACAATTCTAAAGAGTAAAGACAATGTTGGTATATTTTCGAAAAAATACTTACATATATTTTGTATATTATATTAGTTTATAAATTGTACAAAACTCGAATAAATTAATAGTAAAAAAAAAAAAATAACGATAGCTATATAATATGACTAGGTGTTGTCGTAAAAGATTATTGTTTTTGCAATTTCCATTCGTTCTTTACTTAAAGCATTCTTCGATTTCTTGTAGAGTTTTGTTTTCGGTTTCTGGTAAATACAAATAGAAATACACACAACCGAACAGGCCCATAGTTCCAAAAACGAGGAACCCGTTGTAAAAACCAACCAGGTCCTCTAAATCTGGATAAAATTTGATTAAAACGAACGAAATGATGTACGAAAGAGAAGAACAGATGCTGCAAGTTATATTTCTAGTTCTGTTAAAAAAAAAATACATTTATCAGATGTACAACAGAGCAAATATTTAAAAATCCCCCTGTCCAATATTACTAAAAATAAATAAAAACACAGAGAGGAGTACGACAAGGAGTCAAGATGCATTTTATCAAAGCGTAGATGATGACATTAAAATGAACGGAAAGAGATATGTATTAAGGGGCAGAGAATAGGCAATATTTGACAAAAATTCATCTTGTAGTGATTTTGAACATACCGACTAATTTTTAGGAGAAAAGTATTAAGGTTTTCTGGTTAGAAAACTTTAAAAGTTATTTTACTCCGAGTTATGGCCAAAGTTCAATAAAAATGACTTTCGTAGAAGTTCTTTCCGGCGAATCTATTGGACGGATTTAATTTTAATTTTTTTATGAGAAGCTTACTATTTTTTCTATGAGGGCTAAAGGCTGATTTTTTATTTAACTATTAGGAAAATAGTTAGATTTTTAGAAAAAAAATGACAAATGATAAATATAAATGTTTATAGTAAAATTTTGAAAACTAAAATAAAAGTCTTCAATGCAGAGAAAGTATTGAACTTAATAACAAAAAACATTTTTTTTTTAAATCGATTCGGTTGACACTTCAGAAAGGGTTCTCGTTTTAAACTTTATTTGTATAAATGTTGTCACTTTCCGTTTCCCTTAAAATAAATGGAGTCTATCATAATAATAACATTTGCTAGGCTGATGATACCGTTCAATATACATATCAATTAAATTGTACAATATAGTCAAGAAGCGTCGCAAATTCTTCTAGATATAATTGTAAATGTTTGTGATCAACGTTGTTTAACAAAGGAAGACATAGGACAACTTGGATGGACAATCCGAAACACAAGGTAACACAACGGAACCAGGGATGCTGTTGACAGGTAGGAGTCGATTGCCAACATGATTGTTCATGTTCGCTGAGCGGAAAACAAACTGGAAGAAAAGGAATAAGAAAAACAATCTTACTATAAAAAGTGTTGCAAGACACATATCGTTGTACGACGATACTTACTGAATGGGAAATATTTCACCGAGAATCACCCAAGCTAACGGACTCATACCGAATGACGATACGAAAATGGTGACTAGGAACAGTACTAGAATGGTCCAGGACTTGGCCGGTTCCAACGTGGGGTTGGACGTACCGATGAACCCAATAGCTGTGTAACAGACCGAGCCCACCAACAACGTAGACAAGGTCATCATCCGCTTTCCGCATCTGTTCACGGCGAAAATCGTCAGTATACCACCGGTTGTGGACAACGCCACGTAAATGGTCTGTGTGAAGTGAATACTTTTAGGTAATGCGGCACACGAGTAGGTGTAAACGATACACTGTACAATAAACGTTTGACCGAAGGTAATATTATTGTAAACTTACTATGGTCCATTCCACGTTCTGAACGCCGAATTTGGTGAACACTTCCACCAGATACGGCGTGTATTGCGCTCCAGAAAGTATGTTGGTAAATAAAAAATAAAATATTAGCAGGCGAAAAGGCCTGAGCACGTTTGGCTGTAGTAGTAACTTCCAAATACTAGTCGGTTTCATCTTGTCGCCTGGGTTGTTTACGTTTTATAAAACAAAACAAAAAAAAATTCTTTCATAGTTAGTATTTTTTACATACATTTTTTAGGTAGGACATATTTTGCGCGTTACTACGTTAAAAATTTAAAGGAATGACAACAAGGTATTTTTTAAATATTTCAAGAAAAAGTAATGTTTTTGGAGATGGCCATAAAAGTTTATCTAAGCAAGTTTAAATGCTTTTTAACTCCTCAAGTGTCCAAAAAGTGTCGGCAACCCCACTTAAAAGCTTCCGAGTAAGAATTTTCGCAAACCTAAATGTTGTGAGAGTTTAAAAGGTTTTGATTGGTGTTAACTTCCTAAGCATCAAGAACACATCTGATTTTATGGATAATATACTAGTGTGCTAACTGCTATAGTAAAGTAGTCGGGCGAATTGAATGAAGCTACTTTTTGCAAACTTGGTTGTGAACTTCAGGCAAGTTATATGTTGGCGTTGTTGGATTTCCTTGTTTAATGTTATGTCAGAGGCGGACTTGCCAGAGGACTTAGAGATCCTTATCACTCTAGGCATAATAGTTATAAGATTACGAACTGGCGTTGCATATGAGGAAATTTATCTTTAGTTCGGTATCCTACAGCATAATTACTAGTTGTCATTATTAAATGGAAAATCTACAAGAAAAAAATCGTTTTATTGAAGGACTTGGATCATCAGTGAGTCTTATGATCAACTGATTCTCCAGGAATTCTCCTCATGACCATCCCATTTAAACTTATCTTTATCACATCCTCTCCGTACGAGTAATACTCACTGGTTTCCACTGTTGTGTAAACGACCATTTCATGAAATTCGTTGACGCACTTCTCGTTTGGCACCCAACCGCGTAATTTGCTAAGCATGTGGTGAGCTTTTTCCGACTTGTCTCTGGTCAACAGCCATATAGGAGAGTCTGGCGTCTAAATCAAACGTTGCAAACGACATCTAACTATAGTACACTTAAAGTAGAATACCAAGCGTTTAATAATTACCATCAAGAGGATCGCTATGGTTATGATCGGAATTATTGACGTTATGATCATCGTCAGTCGCCAGTCTTTGGTGTAAGCATACAGCGTGCTGGGGAACAGCGAACCGAAGTAGAAGAAAACATTTTGCACCGACGTCAGCGCACCTCTTAGCTTAGGCTCGCACACCTCGGTTATGTAAGCCGTACAAGGACCACCGGCGTATCCCATGCTTAGTCCCATTAACACCGAACAAGCGTACAAGGTCTCGATGTTTTTTGAATAATAAAACATCAACAACGCAATAATGAAAGGTATATTTGTAAGAATCATGCATTTTTTGTGTCCCAACCGAGTCAGCGTCACCGACGACATCATGCTTCCCAGAGGTGTGCTCAAGTACAATAGACTACCTGCGGATACCACACATTCCAAAAGATAAATAGGTGATTACTAGGTGATCCGTAATCATCGATCATCAACTTCATAAAAAAAACTATTAAGCCGGAGTTACTACACGGTTCACTCTGGATGATCATTTTGGATGAATTCATTAAAAATGAACTGTGTTAACATCAAAATCATCCAGAGTAAACGATTTACAAAGTTGAGTCACGTTTAACTTTGGTTAATTTCAGAAGATTCACCCAAAGTGATCATCCGATTAAATGGTGTAATATTGGCTTTACAAACCTAGCCACGACGCTTGATCGCTAGTGATGACCATCGATTCCTGCTGGACGTGCTTCGTGCTGTTTATTAGAGCGCCAATAATTATGGTGGGTGATATCCATTCGGCGCCAAATCCGGCTTGCACAAAACATGCTCCGGATATAGCGAAGCACTGCAATGCAAAACGTTTTAATTTACAAATAATATGTTGTGTGGCATGCAGAAGAAAGCTTGCTGGAGACGTAGTTTTGAGTGGAAGACCTAGAGGACGAGCACGACGAAGATGGATGGATATGATGTCATAAAAAAATTACTGGAAATTGCGCAAGACCGATATGTGGATTGGACAAAAGTTGCTCTCCCATAATAGGAGTAGACAAGAAATATCTTAGTTTTGGTAACTTATCTTAAATGGCTCATAAAGCTAAAATAAATTGAGCCTAGACTCTAGAGTATGTTTTACAATAACGGTCATAAGTAATGTCCAACATTTTGTTCAAGATCCTTAACGTTTGCTGTACGCACTTTGAGCGTGGTAAGTTCCTAGACATTCATATGTGGGATATTGTTTCAATGACAAATCATGGAGTTATTATCATATTTTTTAGCATGTCTCAAAAATTATCCATTGATTTATATTCAGATCAACAAAATGTATCATTAATATGCTTCACAGAGGTAAAAGAAATCAATTAATAGCCACTTCTTCACATCCCTAGCTTGTTCCTAGGTTATGGCTAATGGGAATCACATTTCCTGGTTGTCTCAACATTGGTACCTTACTCCCCTGTCAAGTTTTGAATTTGTTGGAAATTTGGCTTATAGATTTATTGGGTAAATGAAAAACAAAACGTTTCGGTGATGACCTTTTTTGGTTTTTGACCTTTAAAGAGGATAGTTTAATACGTGTTCAAAAAAATTCATTTTGCTTTTGTAAAATTTCAGTACTTAAATAACCATTTTTCTCGAAAAGCCCTATTTAGGTCAGGTTACTTAGGTCCCCTTAGTTTTTAGTAATTCACTTTGAGATTTAATCGGTAACAAGATTGTAAGACGTATTCCGCAGTAATAATTATAAATCTATTCGATTTTAAGTGTTTAATAATTATTTCAATAAAACACAACACTGTCTAATCTTGCCACTTGCAACGGCCTTAGTACGATTTGAAAAGGATTTTATATTATATTATGCGTAAAAATGTATAAACCCCAGAATACGGTTATCTTTAATAGTCATTAATTAACAATAATTTGTGTAACTGTAACAATTATTTTTTGTCTAATTTTAAACCTATAATGGCTGGTAAGATTTACTTTGTCAGTCCAGGTACTCGTGTTAAGTGATGACCCTCCGATAAGATAAAACGGAGTTTTTTTACAACAATATTATTATAATTAGAACATTGCCGCATTAACATACATTGTATTATCTTACTTGTGCAAATGTGGATCTGACGTTATTGGCGTTTTCCATTCCGTCATGATTCATGACTTTTCTCTTGGCTGTAAAGAATGCAAAATACTCAGTAAAATTAACAAAATCAATAAACAAGATGACTTATTATTATTATTTTTAAGGATTATATTGTTTTGTGTATATAAGTGTCACGTGTATTATGTACCTATGTCGAATGGGATTTTTAAAATACACAAAAACAGAATTATTATTATTATTATTAGTATGCTACGTAACATAGAAGTTGCGATATAAACTAACTGTAAATATTTGTATTGACTAAATTTTACAAGATAATATTATTACCAGACCAATAAATACGTCCTTTATAATCCAAGAAAGTCCTTGGCGGCAATTTTTGTACTGACAAATTTTGACTGAAATTTTAATATGTCAAAGTTTGGCTTTAAATTAATGGCATTGGAAGAGGTTTTTTAGTTTTACACCAAAAAGCTTGACGATTTTTTGACTGTTTTACGAAGTTGTGCTGGAATGGGATTTTTCATAAATTTGATAGATAATAAATTAAATTTTTGAAAATCGGTTATGTACAGAACCAAAAAATTATTATCTTTTTATAGAACTGAAAATGGATCACACCAAGTCTGACAGTTTTGTCACAAGTGTTTTTTAACTCCAAAATGGATCTTACTCATAGACAAATTATGGTCGTTAAAAACGATAGATAACATCTTAAATTAATATAAATTAACCCGAATAACCTAATTTACCTAACCGGTAATAAATTGTAAGTTTTCCGAGCCGAATATTATGAAGGTATATTTAGTAAATATAGTTTTTATATATTTCAACAACCCTTTTAAGGTTTGTCAGAGGAACATGTCCTTGACAAAGCATTGCTATTGTTTTGTCAAAACAAACGTAAAAAAATATATATATAGAAATATATATTAGTCAGTGGCGTAATTAGGGAAGTGACTTGAGCGTTGAAACCTCTCCCGGTTTGAGGAGTTACATTAGGTATGGTTGTATAGTTTATGTAAGAATTCGGCGGCTGTAAGGGCGTTGATCTGACTTATGTTTTAAGGTTTTTTAGAACAAACTAAATGTTGAAATTATATTTTCTTACTTCGAATAAATAACAGCACTGTTAAACATAGGTATACCTAGTCAGCTTCACTCAGGTAACACAAAAGTATGAAATAATACCGTTAGTTTTATTATGAAAAAAAATGCGTAGGTACAATGACAAAGTATAAATTTCAAAAATATCTTGAAATATTTTTTTAAAAATGTCGATTCAATAAAAGTATTTATTTATTATATTATTTTTAAAAAACATTTTGTTTCGTTTGAATATATATATTTTTTTTTATTTGCATTTAAATTTGCTGTTATACCGTTTTTAGGATAGATTTATTTGGAAAAATGTGCGTTTTTATTTGATTAATTTTGTCAAGAGCAAACGAATGTATGTACTTACCGGATCGTCCGTTTCCAAAAATATGCGATCAGTTCGACGATTTCTATTGCGTTTTATCTCACTCGTCGATGTTAGAACATTTTCGAAAACACTTGCTCAGTTAGGTTTCTTTGGTTCGGAACACATCGGTATTAATTGACAATTTTCACACGCTGATCGATCTAACGACAAAAAGTGGTATCAAAAGTTTTGTTAACTTTAGAATAATAAAATTTTTTGGAAAAGGTAAATTTTCGACTTAATATTTTTCCATTAAACAAAATTATTTTATCGCGTTGTACAAATTTGACATTTGTTCATGAGCGATTAACAGACAGCTCAGACCGTTGAAATGCAGCTACTAATTAATTAATACACACTTCAATTGCAATGTTTTATTACTTTTTTGAAATATTATACGTTTGATTTCTCCTACTCTCGGTTCCGACGAAGTAGGATGATATCTAACGCAGATAGTAGTACTATTATTATAAAAAAAATATAAATAAATAATGAAAATAAATAGGTAAACAGATTATTGGAATGAATACAAACTCGGTTGTTGTTATCGTCTTTCCGCCTATCTTGTATAATATTTTATTATGATTTGTAAACAGGTGTAATCGGTCCGTTTGGTGGACTCTGTTGTTATTATCACAATCAATTATTGCGAGGTTTAAACCATTTTGAAAAAAAAAATTAGAAAAATAACATAATAAAATTATCGAATCAAACCAAATAATTACATATACCATATATACACTATTTTTTGATGATATACTACAATTTAAAAAAACAACCTAATATGTTGAACAATTATTTTTATTTTTATCGAACAACAATAATGTGTTTTTTTTTTTTTTAGTCAGGGGCTAAGTAAGAATTTGCTGAAAATGTCGATTGTGTGTCAATACTATTAAAGTTATTGGAGTTTAAAATTTAGGACGGGAGGAAGGGTGCAGTGAAGACTTATAGCTTAGGGCTAGTTAAAAAGTTGCTCAAAAAGTGAAGATTGGTATTAGTCGAGTGCCATAAAACATTAATTTCGTATGTTTCACTTTGAAAAAAGGGGAAATTGTATTTTGTGATTTCCAGCTAGAGTCTATCTCTGAACCAATAACCGACGTTAATCCAACATAGGTATTAGCCAGTAATTGGTGTTTAATTACTCTTTTTATTTGTAATTTGTAACTGAAAATTACATTTCATTATAGGAGAATCTGATACCAATATTTTTTTTATTGTTTTCTCATTTGTTGTATTTTGTATAGTATTGAGAGGGAAAAGAAGGAACGGATTATCGGGAAAATTGTATTTCTTTAAAAAAAAAACATTTTAACATGATATTTTTGTTAAGGATTATAAATGTATGCGACCATATTTTTTGTTTGGCCGAATCGCACGCATTGACCTTAAGACTAATTTTCCTTATTCAGCATTTTAAACGTATTTTTTGTTGTAATAAAAGTCCAAATAGATTTACTATCACGTGACCTACAGAGTGGTAAAATGTATTGTTCAAAACCTTCGGTTTGGTAGAATTCCATTCGTTTCAGGGGGAAATATTATAATAATAAAAAAAAAAACTATTACACCGACACAAAAATGATCTTTGAAATACACAACATAATAATCGCAATGAACTAGAATTTAAATTTAAAAATAGAAATACTATGATTTGCTCTTTTTTCTATTGCATAGAAAATACACTTCCGAGTCAGAAAAACTTGCAACGTGCATATTATATTTTATTCAAATAAAATAAATAAAATTCATACAAAAGACTTATCAATCAAGGTAGTAAGGGCAGGCAATTAAAATGCAATTTTTTTTTCACTAAAATTAACCAACAGTTGTAGTTATTTCAACTGAGACATTTAATTTGAATTCGTTACAAAATATATTTTATAAACGTATCGTACCTAAATAAATAATATTATTTATACAATGTTGCGTGTAACTAATTAAATAATCTTATAAAACCAACAAATGTGTGGTTAATCCTCTAACTAGAAACAAATCAGTGCTTGGAATTGTTTCATTTGATTTTTTTATCTTTAAAGTTTTTTCGTTCCTTTCTTTATTAATTTTTTTTGTTAAGCTAGTTTGCCAGATCTTTTTTTTATACATCGGTTATGATGACTGGTAAATACAAGATTATCAATGACTTTTACTTTCAGTAGATTTACCTACTACTTCGAAAAATAAAAAAACGGAGTTTTGAGTAGATTTTTAAAAATGTGTAGATAAATTGCCTATGCCGAAATCCTTGACGAACGTGTCGCGTGGTGTCACTTTTAAATTGGATTGAATAAATTTAAAAAAAAACAAAATATGATTTTTACCTTCCTGAACAATAAGACCGCTTGGATAATATGGAAAAGCCGTCGAAAAATCCTCGTCCATAAATATTCAATAGGAGACGACGTTATATAATAACGGTCAGTTAAACATTAATATTTATTATATTTTATCCGTTTACATTCTACCCGAAGGTATAATATAAACGTACACGCCTAGCATACAAAACTATACGGTTATATCCGCACAAATATCATCAATTCAGACGGTTTGACAAGTTGAAAAAAATCATATTATAGCAAATAACGTCATCGCCAAAATATTATTCGTTATAAGTCTAGATAAAGCCTATATTATTTACCTTTTTTTTGTTTTGTCTTCGTTGCGGATCTGAGAAGGTTTTGGTGTTACAATGATGTGTTTTTATTGATTAATTTATTTTTTTCAGCGCGAACGATATTTTCTAAGCTGCTGAATCGATTTCTTCATGGGTAGAAAGTCAGTGGTGTATTTTTGAATATTCTGCTAACGGAATAATAATATAATACTTTGGCTTAATTTGTATGTATACTATTTTGGACTTTTTTCTCTGAATCTTAGTCTGGCCTAGAATTTTTGATTTACAAAATTTTTATAGAAAACAAATTTGTGAGGGTCACTTCGCATTTTTATGACCAATTTTGCTGTGTAAATTCCTCCACTGGTATTTATGTTCATTTGCTACACTTTTAATATCATAATATATCTATTATAAAAGTGGGAGTAATTGTAAGCAAATTAACAAAATATGTAACTGCGATTCCTGAGTATGAAATCTAATAGTTAACAATTTACCATATCGTTGAAAAATAATTCAAAGTCAAATTAATGATAAGCATAAAATGTGATCAAGTTTTAACGTTTCACTTCATATATTTCTGTTGTCAACTTTTTTTGGCAATTTTTTTTTGCGATGGTATAAAATGTGTCATTACTTAACTCTTTTGGTTTATCTAGCGCACATATTTAATTAGCTTTTAAATTCGCAATCCACTATTATTGTCCGTTTTCTAGTATTTTTATTCTCAAATAATCTGTTTCAGGTTTAAAAAAAGTGTTACATTTTCATAACACGTAATTTGTACTATAAAACTGAAATATTGATACTAATTAATATTCCTTTGAAATTTCTCCTTTTTTTTTTAATTTGTTACTTGACTACTTACCATCGTTTAACCATAAATTAAAAATTACACGAAGTATACACAATTAAATCAAATACTCGAGTAAGATTATTAAACTCTTTTTTTTTTATATATAAATTACTTAAATATAATGTACATAAAGAATATTATTAAATTGTGTATTTTTCATATATTAATATCTAGGTATCATGTTAATCGGTAATCTCGTTTATGCTACTAGTTATTCCATTAACGTTTTAATACTTCGAGTTTTTAATTTCTTGTTAAATAGACAAAAAGATAAATTATGAAGCCAAATTTTTTTTTTATTTAAGGTATACTTAAAGGATTTTTTTTTTTTTTGTAACATTAAATATTTGAATTACCTAATTGATGTAAAATCTTATAGAAACTGGTTTAGATTTTAATTTTTCATCGGGTTGAGTTGTTTTTTTAGTCAAAACGGGTAGGTAGGAAAAGAGTTATATGCATTTTATTTATGACCACATTCGCGACCGTCCGCCGTCGTAACCGGTTACCAGTTACCAGCGGCCGTACACGGTAATTCGGTTTACCATTATTATGTTACATAATAACCGGCGCGGCCGATTGATAACACTGTGGGCGGGTAGAGGCGAGCAGTGGTGCCACCACCCGGGACGACGGCCGGACCGGAGTCGGAGACGGATTGTGCGTGCATTGTGTTGTCAGTTGTGCAGTTGGCCGATCAGCCAGGGCCCGTGTACACAGCCATTGAGCGCGGTCCTTACCGTCCAGTCGACAATGTAATCGGGAGGCCGTCGACAAGTTGCTTGAATCCGTCAACGTCGTACACCGCCGCTGCGTTGTAAAGCACACGCGTTATATAGTACATACATGGTAAGTCGTCGACTGACAACACAACAACAACAATGTTATGCCTAGGGTCCTCCTCCTCGCCGCCGGACGGTGTAGATAGCCGATCGACTTTGTTGTGGGTGTCGTGCCGCCTCCACTGAGTCTGACGGAAAACATCATGGCTGACGTCGGCGAGCCCTTCGGTGGACGACAATACCACCGGTTGTGGACGCCGTCCACTGTGCGGTTGAGGCCGCACGCGCGATGTGGACACCTGTCCCGCGCGCTAAAATCACTCGGCACCGACAAAGACAGAAACTGTCATTTTGTAAAAACTTACCCCTAGTTTTTTGGAAAAACTTCCCCGAGTTTTCTAAAGCTACTTCCACAAGGAAGTTTTGCCACAAAGTAAAAATATTGAGTACGGTGTCGGTATTTGCATCGGCCAGGTAATTTATTGTTTACGCTATCTGCAGTATTTTGATAATGTGTCGAGAGTTTTTGCATTTATCGGCAACGAGTACAACACTTCTTAATTTAAATTTTGTTCAAGGGTTATAAGAAAACGCCAGGTTGGTTAAATGAACTCTTGTCAAATGTCTCTTTTTATTGTCGAAAATACACATTAATCAGCTGTCCAGTTACGAGATTACAAATTATGTTGTTCTCACCTCCGATCCATTTGAAACTGAGTTGAATCGTACTCACTTTAAATCTGTTTTATATGTTATGATCCTGAGTTATACCTGTGACATCATCCATGCTTAGGTAAAACCCAATTTGTAGCCTAAATTTCACAACTATGTCTTTAATTGATCTTGTCGTTCATGTTCATTTTTTTTCTCTGCAAGTTCTAGCAATGAAATACCACGTTTTATTTGTTTGTTAAACAATATTTATTCAATGTGAAAAACATTCTAGTCTACGGGGTAGAAGTTAGTTAGATTATCCATTATCAACGCCCTCACACATTTTCATTATAAAATATGTTGTATGTTACGTGGTCACAATAGTATAACAAATGTGATACTGTCGAGGTCTTATATTATTTAGATTTAAAAAGTGTTTTGTATTTTTCACAGGATAAATTGAAAATGAATAGCTGACACAATGTTGCAGTTGAAAAAGGAAATGGTAAGCAGTTTTTATTTATTATTTATTAATAGTTCACCAGATAAAAATTGAAATGGCTAATAAAAAAGTTTTCGTTAGTTATGTTAAACAATTTAATGGAACAATACAATCTTTATTTAAATAAACAAGAATATATTAATAAAACACATGTCTATATTATAATTTAGCCGTCGTTTTATTAAATTATACTGTCTTGCTCTGTCCGTACTTTTGTTATATTTCATACTTTTCGTTCTTCTATCTGTAATTTTCTTAAAGATTACCTCCAATCAGCAGCCTTTTAATGACGACTGCAAATTTCAGGTTATTTTTCTGTTTATAAAGAAATTGACCAAATATTGTACTTAAAAAAAAAAACAAAAAAAAAAATTGGCAAATCATTTCTCACAATTAAATTTTAAAATAATTGACTTGCAACTTTTCACTTATGACAAAGTACAAATCAGTTATAAATTTGTGAGTTACTTACTTAGTGTTTCTATTAAATATTGTTATTATTTTTCCAGAAGAAGAGGGATAACCTCGAGGCACCCGCTCCGGACAGTACGACTGCTGAAAGCAAGAGTTATGTTTGCGGAGAAGAAGTCTTGGTGCATCTAAAAGACGATAGATTTTATCTCGGGTTTATAGCCAAAGTATGTGTTTATTTTTTTGGTTATAATTTCATTGATGTGATTATCAAAATATATGTATATATATTTTATTTTCAGTTGAGATTAAAAGAGTCAAAGTGCTTGATAAAATTTGGTGATAACACTGTGAAATGGGTGTTGTTGAAAAGTGTCACTCGTATGTCGTGCACTAGCGTGAATACCCAGTTTTGCAATTTGTGCAATATGGAACCGTCAGTAGACGAACTTTGTGTATGCGACAAATGTGCTAACGTATATCATCGGAAATGTCACAAGGTAATTGACACGGTCAAAAGCAAATTTTTAGAAGTATTAAAATGTGTATAGGATGTTGTCAAATCGCTAAAACAAATAGTTAATTTAAAATATTAAATACAAAATAAAAATTGTGTCTACGAGTTCCTGTTAAGACTTAAGTCATAAAATGTTTATCAATTAAATCGAACAAGTGAAAAAAAAAACGACCATATTATTTTGATTACAAAATTTCATAACTCCTGTTATATAATTGAAATTTTGTTTTCAGCCCGAAGTGGTCATGGTGGACGTTTCCGTATGGATGTGTTATGTGTGCAAAGAAAAACAACAAATCAATAGACTGCAAGGGATCAACTCTGTGTCGAGTACAATAGTTCCGAAAGCCGTACAACTACCGTACGACGTAAGACACTTGTTGTTAGTTGGCTAATGGGTTTTTGTTGTTTCAATATTTTTTTTTTCATTTCGTCCACAGTTAAACTCTCTCCAGTGGGACATACACCATCGTATCAACAATTTGGGGACATATTGTTACTGCGGTGGGCCGGGCGATTGGTTTATTAAAATGTTGCAGTGCGCCAAGTGCTTGCAATGGTTTCACGAAAAGTGTCTGTCCTCATTAACATATCCTTTGTATCTTGGTGACAGGTGAGCGTAACAGATAATTAGCTTGACATTTAATCGAGTTCAATTTCGTTAAATGTTTAAAAAAAAAATTCATTTTTGTATAATTTTTTTATTTTTTGATCAATTATTTGTTTCAGGTTTTACGTGTTTTTATGTTCAGTCTGCAATCAGGGTACAGAATTTGTGCGTCGTATTGAAATGGAATGGGCCGATCTGGTGCACCTTGCTCTGTTCAATATGACAGCATATAAACCACAAAAATATTACGACGTAGACGTCAGTATACTTCCTTACTTAGAAAACCATTGGAATTCAATGTATCTACCTCCTAAGGTAAGCGAAGTGGTCGGTGTGATAATCGACAATCGTCGGGCGTTGTATAACGAATCGGCTGTGTATCATTGCATTTAACTGTTGTTTCCAGATTGTCAATGTTCCTGTCGACGATAGGAAGGTGTACATTGTCAATGCGCTGCTCAAAGATACAAATCAGTAAGCGTTAATTTTTATGTTTATTATTTATCTGCTTTCTATAATATTTCTTAATATTGAAATTTTATTAATTTTGTTCTTGTCCATCGTAGTAGGTTCGAATTCCAAGGTAAGAAACCCGCCAACATGTGGGGACTTCGACTGAAACTGCCGCCAAAGCCCCCTCGGTATTCGTTACCCACGCAAGTTCCGTTCAACGACAACCTTTTGCACCATCAACTCCGAAACAAACTAAACCTCAACATACTACCACCCCCAAAAAAGTGAGTGACATTGTTGACGATGACAGACGACAGGCTTATTTTTTGTCTTTCATTCTGATGCTCATCTTGACATAAATTTAATTCACCTAAAGCAAAATGAGTCATTTTTATTTTGTAATAATTTGGACCATTGAAATTTTGTTTAGTAATTTACTGCATTCATTAATAATTTTTAATATATTCTTATTAGCTTCATTTATACATATTTTTCATCATCATATAAATACAAAAATATTTCAACTTTATTTCGATTCTGCATCAAAGTTAAAATAATAAATTTAATCTGTCAAACATTTATCAACGTAGAGGGAACAAATTATTGAGCTTATTTGATTGGGTCAAAAATAAATATTAAAAAGAAATAAAATGATCATGCTATCAATTAAAATATTTCTCAAATCAGTTCTTTGTATAGTAAATGTGTTTGAATAATTGGTCATAACGTTTTTTAAAACCGAAAAAATTGTATTTATAAACTAAATTATAGCTTTAACTTTTAGAAGCGGTGTTTGCCATAAACAAATGTGGCGTTATTAAAATTGGTTATGAACTATAAATTATATAAGATATTATTTCTATTCATATGAATTTCAACATGTTAAATATTATTAAAATAATAATTTAAATTAAAAAAATTATTTTAAATTGTCAATAATATTAGGTGAAATAAAAATTTATATAAAGAAAGGCTTTCTTTACTTTTTTTACTTTTTCTGATTGCGTATAACTAAAAAAGTTACAATAATTTTAACATACAATAGAAAAACAAAAATGTTGGTTTCAATGCGTATTTTTTTTAAAATAAAATGTTCAAATTTTTCTATTGTCTTTACGAGTGTGAACATTTTATGAAACAAAAATAATATATTTTGACTTTTTTTAAGGACTGATTTTGTAGTAAACAAACAATCGACCGAGTCTATGTATTCAGTGGAAGGTTTGAAGTTCTTGCATCAAGATTCACCCGTCGTCATGTTACCAAAAGGCCTGCCATCCATTGGACACAATGTGAGTGTACTTTTGTCAATAAAACAAATAGGTATTTTTCACCTAATATTTATCGACAAATTACTGTAGGTTTGTATCAAAAGCGCCACTCCAGTGATACCGGCGCCGAGATCTGTAATTGAAAGACGAATTAGACAACAGCAGGTAGACACCAACAAACGGACTTCGCGAAGTTCTAGCATGGTGGCGACTAAAGTAAAAGTAAGTTATAAAAACATGTAATTATCGAATTGTCGTCGCCTCACTTGTAACATTTTTTTAAATTTAAACTTACTTAAAGAAACCAATTAAAAAAGAAAAAGTTCCTGAAAGCCGGTCGCCGTCTAGGTCAACCGAGAGCACGCCGGAAAAATCCATATCGGCGTCCGAAGAAGAACTGACCAGTGAGGATGACGCTGATGATGAGGAGTTGGACGACGAGGAAGATGCTGATTTATTGCACACAACTGATCTACAAAGTCGCCGTAGTGAAAGATTGAACGTGAATCGGCTGTTGAACGGAAGGTCTATCAACAGTGTTGTTCCTCCCCCCGTCAATCCTCCCGAAACACGTGTAGCCTCATCGATTACGTTGCCGCTATCGTTGGCGCCAGTCATCACTCGAGGGCCTCAGGTGCGTACGACCAAGCGGCGCCTCAGTGAAAAAGATTTACGAGTCGACCGCAATGGCCAGTGCCTGGTGAAACGCAAACGGCTGCGGCGCAACGGTTTGACCAACGGCAATTTGACGCCAACCAAAAGGCGGTCGAAAAACAACACTGACGGCCGAATAATGTACAGGTCTTACTCGGAGTTTTTTGCCAACCACAGTCATTCGGTCAACAGGCCATATTCGCCTGAAAACACCGTAGATTCGTCAACCGATCTTAAAACTCTCGTACATTCATATTTCGGAGCCAGCAACAGAATAGCCAACGGTGAAGAGTACACCATACTTTGCAAAAGGACCAATCCGGACGGGTCGGAGGAGTTTCTAATCAGATGGGATTGAATTTGGAAATTTAGGGGAATTCTAAATAGAAAAAAAGACTTACGACGAAATTCTGTTGTTTCGTTCGGTTTTGGTGATTTATTTTAATCTTCAAATCTCGGCTCACTTTTTAGAGATTTTTTTTTAAATTATCGTTCTGACATAAAAAAGTTTATTTATCAAGGCTTTATGTTAAAACATTACGATTCGAATAAGAAGAAATAGTAATTTTATATTCTTTCGGTCGTAATCTTTGCACATTCTCAGCTGTAAACTATAGTCACTCCAACGAAAAAGAAGATTTTGTACGGATATTGTAAGGGTGTACGTGTATAAAAAAAGTTATATGTATATATATAACTTGTAAATTATTTTCAAAAAAAACCTGCAAATTTGTGTTCATTTTTTTGTAATAGGGACTTCTTGGAGTATTAAATAAGTTATTTATTGTTATAATTTTTTTTATTGAAATACCGAGTCTTGTAGGGGTCTCTCGAACTGTCTGCTTTTGATTGTATTTTTTTTTTCCATTCAATATAACCTAAATTTATTATTATTATCCACTCTTTGGTCGTCTTCTGTACGTACAATACTCAAAAAATATTATTTCATTTTTTTTATTATTTATATACATATGTATATAAAATCGGCATACGTAATAATAATAATAGCTTTATTATGGTATTAGAGTATAGTTTTTATGTTATAGGAACCAAATTGTGAATTAAAAAAAAATTGTTTAATAGACTGCTCGGGTTTTGCGTAGTGTGTTTGTTCAAGTAGATAATTTTTTAAAGTAATTTCTCTAAACAAATTGTAGTCGTAATTGAATTGAGATTAATAATTTATTTTAATTAAATTATTTATTCACAAAACACAAAGAATTTTCTACGGTAAGACTGACTGATAACTTTTTTTTTTGTCCGTGAAACAAAATGTACTATTTAAAAAAAAAAACAATGCACCATGGGAGGGGGCTTGATTAATGATTAGTGCATTTTTAAATCTATTGTAGATCTCGGTAAAATAAATAATAATATTTCGTAATTTGTTTCAAAATTTTCCAAATGCTGAATTTTTAACAGCCTGTTGAACAACAATAACAATTGTCGCGTAATTCTCTTTCGTCAGTAAATTATAAGCAAATAACCGATTCAGTAAAAAAGTTTTGTACCTATTTATTAATAAATGAATTAAATATTGTTCGTTTGTGCTCAGTGTGTATTTTACATAATATAAACATAATTTATTTTTTATGATCGATTTTTTAAATAAAATTTAAGCATCAGATGGGTTTTTTATAATTATGATATTGATAATGTAGTTTCAAACAAAACAATTTTTATGTAACAACATTCAACGATAACGTTAACTTATCACTGCCATTAAAATGACTGTTTATTGTGTAAAACAATTAGCGTTTTAATATTGAGTTAAGATTATTTTTTTTTAAAACTATTTTGGGTTTTGTGTTGCGTGTCGTGTACGTGTGTAATAAAAATGGTAATGTTTTATTCCGACTTTGAATAAGAATATTATATGTTTCTTTTTATGTTCCTACAAATGATTTTTTTTTTTAATGAGTTACAATTGTTAATAAAATGACTCTTGTTTTTTGTCAACAGTTCAATAATATATAATTTAAATATATCACCTGCTGCCGCCCGAAATAGCGTTTAAACTTATATTTTGCATGTAAATCCTTTTTTCTTTTGTGGTCTGTCGACAATAATTATTATAATAGAACAAAATATTTTGAACTTGAAACACGAGCTCTTACGTTTCATCATAATGCCAGTTTTTTTTTCAAATTTGTGTTTTTTTTTTTTACGCTTTGTTATTATAAAACGAGTACTATAGATATGAATTTATCGATTTAAAGCGGCATGTTATGAATTGTTCCATTTTTTCCTCCCAATTTAAACTATTAGATAATAATTATTATTATATGTTTTAAGGAAGTACAGTTGTCAAAAAGGATATTGATAAATATGTTTTATCTTTAATTAGTATAATTACTAGAACCTTAATCGTAGGCCATAAGTATATTGTAAGAAAATGTAATGTTTTTGGCGGTTTTTTTTCTTCCGGCAGAACACTTTTATTTAATTTTTTTAAATATTGAATTTTCTATAAATTTAAACTCGGAAGTTTAATGTATTTTTTTTTTGCGGGGGGAAGGGGATTGAACGAAAGTGATTTGAAATATGTATTTATAAATTTGACTTAATTGTGTTAATTTGCAAAGACTTGTATTAGGAGTCGTCATTTACTGTTTTTTTTTTTTTTGTATGTATGTAATAAATGTAACGGTGACTTATTACCATATATTATATATATTAATGAAATTTTATTTATTTCTTATTATTATTTTTTTTTATTTGTAATTAAAAAATTACAATTGTCAAATGTTATACAGTTTTGTGTTTGGCTGAAAATTAAAAAAAAACTTTATTGCTGTATGATCACATCAGTGTTGAACTAAACAATTAAAGTGATTAAATCACTTTTAAATAAACGCTTAAATGTGAATCACTATATCATATATTACGATAAAATTAGACAATATTCAAATTTTAATCATATTTATATTTTTCCAGATATCTATTAGCTTTTAAAATTTTAATGATAACGTATGTATTTGATTAACTTTTTAAAAGAAGAATAATTTGCTAAAAATTTCGGGTAGGAAGTGGGGTCATCAACTTGTACTTAATTTTAAAAGTTAATAAAACATATTATTATGTTATCATAAGTTTTGAAATTTGATAGAGCTCATAAAAGGCTAAAAATGAGAATTTTGTTTAATGTCGTAAAATAACATGAATTGCAGTTTCTTCATAAAGAAAAACTACAAAATAGCAATTATTTCTAAAGAAAACCAGTCTCTTGTCCGTATTATACTATCATCCAGAATAATTGTGTACACATCTGAATTATAGAAGCATTCTCGGTATATAGTAATGGATTTTTTTTGTTTTCGGCTAGCAGACTCAATTTGCATTGTTTGTTATTTGATAATTAAAATTAAAAAAAAAAATGAATTGTTAATAATTTCAAAAATGATTTATTATTTGTCGACGCGATTTTCTTATAACTTACGAATATTTATTTTCTAATTCGTTATATTTTTTCTATCCAAGACACAATGAAAATGTTTATTTTATTATTATTTTAACTCTTAATTTTTTTTAAATATGTTTTTTAACTGGAAATTCCACTAGTTATACGGTGCGTACCGATGTAGTGAACTCAAAGAAATTCTATTATAATTAGTTTATTTGGTATTTTCCGAAAATACAACCGAGTTTGATTGTATATTTTCTATAAAAGCGTTCGACTAACGTCAGCAAAAAAAAAATCAATCGTCTCCAATTACAATATTTAATACTAGAATAAAATATTTTAATTATTGTTGGGACGAACATGGAAAAAATGACATTTTTAAATACGTTTTTTGGTCTTGGCCGCACTTTACCTAGTATACCTTTTTTGACTTTTCGATTAACACTACTTCGTTTTTGTAATAAACAATTACAATAATAATGAAAACATTTTTAAATTATCAAAGTTTAGATAACGTTTTTTATAAAATGTTTACTTTATCAATTTTGTACAGAACTCGGTTGGAATTAAGTGCATAATTAACATGGCGATAATATTACAATTATTATACTCGTATGCCATAGACTTGAGTAAAAAAAATTGACCATACCTAACAGTGTGACCACAAAATAAGGCAGAACACAATATTTTTTCCAAAAGTTGGTATTGGTACCATGCCATGAAAACTTTACTTTAAATATTGTAATATTATATTATTGCTTTTTTATGAGTATTATGCAATTTATTTAAATTCAACCGTTTTTTTTTAATTTAAAATTTAGTCTAAAAGTAATCTATTTTCTAAGTAAGCCTAATTTTTTTACATTTTTTTTTACGTTTTCTTGTTACTTGTTTTTTACTAACGATAAGATTCGTTGTTTAGTTTTGCAATCGGTAGAAAAATATACACTTATTAAATATAGTACACTATATTTCCGTGCAATGATTTTTCCAAAATTAATAATTATAGAAGCTTCAATAAAATTGTCTACTATATTTAAAATGAACACAAAATAACATAAAAAAACACACGTTAGTGATTGTATTATTGTCTTATGGCAGTGTATAGACATTGTTATTGATATTATGATTAAATTATTACATAGTTTAAAAATACACGCAAATTTGAACAGAATATCGGTTTGACTATAGTACAAAAAATTTAATCGATATTAATGTATAGTCTTAAATTTAAGTTTAAAAGACCAAAGTTAAATATGCTCTCCTAAACTCAATGGATTTTATTAAGTAAAAAACTTGTGCAAAAAAACACTTTTCTGAAACCTTTTAATATAGTCTCATCAAGTAATTTAAGTACTTTTCTTGAATACATTTTTTTAAAATATTACAACTAAGCTTAAACACTTTAAACAAAGGTATAAAAAATAATAGACTACTCGACTTAACGTGACGCCACACGTAGCAATTTTTAACGAAAAAGTCGCGTTTAGTCAATTTTCCTTTCAAAATAAATTTAAAATTAAACATATGACGTATTTTGGTTATTGTTCCAAAAACAAGGTTAAATGTTGTTGTATAACGTTACCATTCCAATAGTAACATTGTAATAATTTCCATATTTTTTTTTTTTACATTTTCACAAGTTGCTTTTTTGCATTCTAAATCCTTTTTTTTTGCTTTTCGAGTCCACGACCAGTTGTGCCTGTTTTTTAATCAGGTACCTATTGGGTACGGGTTTTTCTTCTTCTTCTTCTAGTTTGTTCGCCGATTCCACCACGTTCTCGCCCAACGTCCACAGAGGAGCTATGATCTGAAATAAAAAAAACAAAATAATCATATACATAACTATCGACCCTTAGCTAATATAGAACCATGCTAATAATAAAACCTTTTGTTCTGTGCTGCCGTCGGTTTCTGTGTACTTGATCTCGCCAGTTTTCACTACACTCTCGTATTTGGTCTGCAACAAACATATCAACCAATCTCCTTTGTCCATACCAGGACACTTGTCCGGGACGGGCGCACTGTCGGCTTCTCTCAGCAACAAGCACATGTCGTACAATCTGACCAAGATTCGGTTTATCTGTTCGCACAGTCTGGATCCGTCTTTTTGCAAACAAGTCAGTCGGTTTTGCTGTTCGAGGATTTGTTGCTTTAGCAATTCGGTTTCCTCTTGGTTCCTTCGGGATTCACAGCAAAAACCACATGTCCACGTTATAGTAAACGATAAACAACAGATTTAGCGATTCGGATGAGAAACGGGTTGATATCAATGGCCGAGATTCGAGATAAGTGTACAAAGAGATAGAGAGAGAGAGAGAGAGATGTGATTAAATCAGAGCATTGGGAAATAATTAGGTTAGAGCAAGAGGTATAGCGAATAGAATGCATTATGCTGGGTAAAACGTGAGAGGTGATAAACGACAGAAAGGAAAGGCCAGCAATGTTGCTGCCAGTGTGTTTGCCATGAAAGATGATACAAGAGGTAGAACTAGCTGACATGAGACTATTGAGATGCTAACTGAGGAATGACTGCAATACAAAATTAGGATTGAATAGAAAAGAGCCAAGAGGTAGAATGAGATTTGCGCCAAACAGAAGGTAAGGTTTCAATGGTTTGAGTAGGTTGTTTGAAAAAAAACGTTCATCTTTCCCTTGAGGTCGAGACAACCAAGATACGAATATGTCTTAGATGAGCATTAATCTCTTGTCATTTTCTTAGGGGTTATAGATTTCCCCTATCACAAATATATCCCCATTCCATTTCCAACCCATACCTTTTCCCTCTCTCATCTTATCTATCCCATCTTGAACCCCTCTACTTCACTCTTCATTGTTTATGGGAAAAGATAATATAGGATTCTAGGGTGACCAATTATAATTTCATGAAAGAATCAAAAATTGAAGAAGAATTGAATAGTTTTAACTCTTTATTATATGCTGTTCAATTATTTGAAAACCAGGTAGAAAAAGTGTTTATTAATTGTTTAGTTAATTCCCCCAAAAAGTATTGCATTTACATATTTTAACACATTTGCTTCGAACTACTTCACCTGTGACTCATGAACCAACTCCAACATTTATTTTGTCCAAGACTGTTGGATTATGTTTGGTTTTAAATTACAAGTATTTATTTGAATATTTCAATACTTATTAACCGTATCCAATAAAATATGATGTAATTAATGTTAACACGGATTACTCACTGTTCTTTTTCTTGTGCATCAGAAAACCGGCACTGTTCGAACTCGTCATTTAGCTGTTGGAATTTCATTTGCAAAGAATTTTTTTCCTTCTCGGTGTTCGTCTTCAAGGCGGTAAGTCTGTCCTTGGTTTCTTTTTGCGATACGAATTTCCTTCTGACATCCTCGCAGTCAATCGAACCTGTAACGTCAAAATGTCCATATTTAGTTTTGAAATTTGATCGCTAAGAAATTAATGTTTATCATGGGGAAAATATCTAAGATAACAGCTGTTATGGGGTTAAACCTTCCTCCACCCTTCTGGACATTAAATTATTTACTCATTACATAACTAGACTATTGAAATTTGAAAAGTATTGTAAACATTTTAAACCCATCCAACCCAATCAAGTGAATGATATAATTAAATACACTAGTTCGTCATTACGAAAATAGCAGTTATTTAAAATAATTACTAAGTACTTAACATAAATAAAAAGTAGGTTGGGACAAAATGGGAACGGAGCATATTGAGGCGGGTTTAAAGTTATTAAAGTTAACATTTAAGACGGAGAAGGGTGGAGTGTAGAGTTATTTTTATCTGCTCGCAATTCGAGAAGACATTTGAAAGTTTTCTAATATTGAAATATAACATAAACAAATAAGTGTTCAAAAAGAATAATTTAAAATTGTAATTATTTTGAAAGTAAGCTAGTGCAGGGCGTAAAATAGTCACAGGGTAGTACTTTGTCGATAGTACTTTATCTAAAGAAATAAGAATATTCCATAAAATGTAGTACTAATTTGGCTAATATAAAATAAATAAAAACACATCTCATTGTAAAAAAATGTACCTTCTCGGCTCAACATGGAATCTAAAAACGAAACTGAAAACAATTGTTTGCCATTGAATCAAAAAATTATACTAACGCAGTTTGGTGGGTACCTGTTGTAAGATATTTAACGTTGTGTTTTCCCGACCTTTTTGATCACCAAGCCCTCCCCCTCGCGTCACGGAGTGATTTACTCAATAATTAAAACGGTATCCAGATTAATGATACTCTGTTACACTGGCGTTGTTTTCCTTACCGGTTACTTGTTTTAATTTCATGTACGCCGTGTCGGATACCTCTTGGCTGTCGGTAGATGCATTGTCTCCCAGCCGCTGTTCGTCCGACGAACTAGGAACCGAATCCTGTTGGACCACCCTCTGGCCCGGGGGGAATATTTTTCTTTCCAGCTTCTCCAGCTCCAATTTCCTCTCTTCCACCTGAGCTCTGCGTCGTGCAGTCGAGATAATATCGTCCACGGTCAAATCATTTTCAAGTTAAAAACAACTGTGTGCACTCCCCCCATTTACCATTCATTTTAAAGTACACAGACAACCGGTGCTACACACAACAACGACGACCGATTTTGTGCGAGATTCCCGCCGTCAACAGAGGTACCCATGTCTTAGTTTATGGACGGGCGGTTGGTGAACTAAAATCTGTTACCGTTTTTGTGTGTAGCGCCACTTATATTGTGGGCTTATTTTAAAATCAATGCATACACTAACCTGATGTGTTCCACTTGTCTCATACGGAATTTCGCTATGTTCGCCGCGTTCACCTCTTTCTTGTGCAACACTTGCCTGGTCTTGTCTCTCGATTTGACCGCTTCTTCGTTTATTTTCTGAACGAATTACATAATAATCTATTTATTTATTTATTGTCAGTTTACTCGCGCGGCATTTTAACATAATATACTAATTTATAATAGATTTAGGTATAATAACTCAAATGAACAATACTTTAATTTGGTTTTGTCATCATTAAGAAAAAAGCACAAAACAAAAGTTTTTAAGCTCGTTGCAGTCATTTGAACTGCGATGAATCAACACATCAATCAAACCTATCTCTTTCCCTTCTCTCTTCTCCTTCTCTTTCCTTTCACTTACAAATCTCTTATCAAATGATTATCTTATCCATTCATAATCGATTTCCCTTTTACTACCATTTCATCCCTGTCAGCTCATCCTAACTATTCTCTTCCCTTCCCATTTGTGTCTCAGGCCCAAGTTCAAAGACATGTTATTATTGCACTTGTGACACCCGTGCACTATGTCTTCGGTATAATATAGTGTGTGTCTTAAACCATCACAACCACACTACACGACCATATTATGTACCTGGAGTCTTTGAATTTCTCGTTGTTGCTCGTCCAAGGATTTTTCTAGCTTGTCCAGTGTAGAATCGAACACTACCGAGTCCTGCAACAGTTGGTTCTTTATAGACCTGTATTTGCGAGTGACGTGCGACGCTTCCATTCTGCTCATGTCGACTTGATGAGATCGGTTTTCTAGCGCCGACAACGACTGTAATACAACACAGCACAGACGAAAGTTATTTGCGGTATTAGGTCGTTAAATTATTATTGATTTAGACGTGAAACCACCGTTGGCCGGCCGGTCGATCTCACCTTGGCGGTATCTGTATCCCTGCTCACGACCGAGTTGATCTTTGACCGCACGTCACTCCATCTCTCGAACAAGTCGTTCAGCTTGGTTCTTTTCTACATACACACGGCCGCCGCCCAGTGGAAACCGCGGGTAAAACAATATATTATAAAATATATATTATCTGGGTTACAGGCGCAGCTATTCCGCCGAATCTTAGGTGCACCACCGACGCTGCCGCTTACCTGTTTGATATCGTGTCTAATTAGGTCGGTTTTTTTCTTCACGTCGATCAACTTGCCGTCCAAAATATCCAACGCCTCGTGATATTTCTTCCTCTTCAAAATCACCACGCTATCGTGGCTTTTCGCCGACGCGTCTGGAAGGGCGTCTACACACTGTAATAATGTGCGCACATAGAATAATAATTATCACTTTAAACAATATGTTTTTTTTTTTTTTGATCGCAGTGTCATACTTTCGTGGTCATTGCTAGACCGCTGCACCTACCGTGGAATTTTCTCTTTTTATTTCGTACATTCTTTTGATGTCTTTTTTCAACGTTTGAATTTTCTCGTTGTTCTTCTTCTTTTCTTCCTCGCACTCTTCATACTGCGCTTTCTTCTGGCCCTCTGTAAAACGTTAGCACTGCTGTTAACACATTATCGTCCTAATTGTATCTATTCGGGGTTGGAAACGTTATTCTCAGTCTGTTATTAAAGTAATCATATTTTTTTTAGTATCGATGTGCAGCTGAGAACGTATCGGTCATATATAATGATATACACTTTGTTGGACCATAAATTTACAAAGTTCACCCCATCTCCCAAAAAACTTGAGAAAAACTACTATGTAGATATAGAGTACAATAGTGCTATTCATAAACATTGACAAACCAAATAAATATCAAAAACCCTTTCCGCCCAGAAAGGATGGAAAGTTTTTCTTTGTTTATCTTTTTTAGGGCTTCAGGTCTGAAAATTAAACTCAAGGTGTAGATGCTATATTATATGCCAGCTATAACATGTACGATTTTCTCAAAAGTCTGTAGTCAATCTGTACCAACTATTACACTAAATAACTGGTATTAAACATATCCAATAGTGTAAATTCATCAGTGAACGGATGGAATTTATTCAAATTAAATTTAAAAGTAAATATTTTACTTCACTACAGTGTAATAAGTCATGATATCTAAATACAAATAAATAAAAAAAAAGAATTATTTTACTCATTTAGGTTCTTGTAAATGGTTTTCGTGATTTTTAATTTTCTTTATAATGGCTACGTTAAAACGGTAGGAATATATTTGTTAATAAGTTACTTAAAAATTATATAATATTATAATTCGTTATTAATTTAATTTTTAATCTAGGCTATTCCTAAGAAAACTAATACTTATATTGTTCAAAAATAAAATCAAATACCTTTAAAACAAAATATATTAAGTAGATACTTGAAGAATATAGTTACTGCAATGAGTGTCTTATATTTTACATATTGGGACTTGGGACCTATTCTAAAATTTTGAAAACGAAAAATCGTTTTATATGGTAATAATATTGGTTAGACACTCGCATTCGGTTACAACAATTGGATATTGTGTGTCTAGAGAGCTAATATAGGCTATATTACCTATACTTCCTTTCAGTTTACATGGACAAACTACGGTGTGTACTAATAAAGGAAAATAATGAATGTTTGACAAACACCCTCTTATTTTAGGTTTACCATAGTAATAATACCGTAATTTAGGTATTGTGATTTGTGTATAATTATTAGGTACCTGTTATGTACATAATAATAATATAATACAATATTATTATACGGTGTACTGTTTACGAATAACGTATGTTTAACGATATAAAATACACAAACAGAAGTAGAAAACTAATTATGAATAACTATACAGTATGATAGTTTGTTTCGTAGGGAAATTTCATATTATAATGTTATGAATGCTAAAAGGATAATGTATAGGATCGAAAAATGCCGTTGATGCTATCAATTTCTACCTCAGTTGAATCGTTTGTAAATTATTTATGAATGGTCTATAAAAACCTGTGGGAAAGCAAAACAAACTAATTAAATTCACACATAAAACATGGCTTTAAATATTATTGAAAACTATTTCTCAGACTCACAGCAGTTTCATCATACAATTAATATCAAGAAAAAAAATGTATTATGAAGGTTGCAGCAGTATAATTCACCCCTTTCATAAATAAATATCATAAACAAAATATGTAGAAAAACGAACATTGTAAGGGATATACGTTTAAAACTTCCAATTATTATAAAAAATAACGATTTTAATTTTTTTAGTTTAAGGTCAGATGATTTATTCAATCAATTTACTGTTTGTCCACTTTACTTAGTTTTCTATAAAAGTCCACCCTAGACGAATGACTACAGCGTTTATCACAAATATTAAAATTAATTTAAAAACAAATGGTTTAAATCAATTTTTTTTAATTCATTGAATTTTTTTTTTTTACCCAATTTGGTCATGATTTCGATTTAGTCCGTTTGTGTAATACAAAAAAAAAAAAATTCAGTCATTAATGCTAAACCGAAAACAACTTTTCGTTTAAAACATTAATTTAAACGGTCTTAATTGACGTCCGTTGAGAATGAAAGATTGTAAATACAAATAAAGAAATTACTAATTGTTTTTTAAATAAATTCAAATTTTATAACACATTAAAACATTGCAAAATCGAAAACATCTAATAATAATATTACAAAAGGTTGAAGGTAACTCACAAAATCGTTAACTTATAATATTGTGATTGCTGTACCGGAAATTGTTGAAATTCAGAATGAAAAAAAAAATCCAACTTAAGTAAATAAGAACTTATAGTTTCAAAATGGAAATGTTCTATTAAACTGAATTACAATATGTATCGTTTAGGTGTGTTTGATAGATTTTTTCCATGACTTTCTTCTGACTCAACGAATAGAATCGCGACAGAACAATATAATAATTATTATTTATAATAATTGAGATTACCAGACAACTGTATTTTCTTTTTCAATGCGTGTATGCGGTTAACGAGCTCTTCGGCGGGAATCGAGGTTTTCTCACGTCTTCCAGGCATTGTGTGGGATATCAGCCATGGACCTTTTGTATCTATAGACTATAGTATAAAAAAAATGTTAGCATAATACTGTGTGTATGTTTAGTATGTTACACTGTTATCGGTGTACAGCCCAGACCGAACCGTTTGCCGAATTACTGTTCGAACAACAGCCAGTGTTTAATATGCCTGCACATGTAATAATATGATGTTATTGTGCACACCAGTTTGATCAATAAACCAGAATACGGTTAGCGCAAACAGTACCGCAGCAATGCGTAGTCGCCCGATATCCAAATGTATTTTAATAATTGTATAGCCTAATATAAAGTTATTTTATTTTATTTTTTAGATTTCGGTACGGAGCTGAGAAGGTATTGGTTTATACCTCCCAAACAACCGAACCGATTTCTTCATGTGTAGCAAGTCTATAGTTTGGAAATCGCAGCGGTAAGGTATTATATAGGGTCAACAATTTTGAAAAAGTTCACCCCTTCTCCTTCGAAATAGAGTTAAACACCTGAAAAATGTATACGGAATGGAAACGTTTTCTTCATTTTGCTTTTTTAGTAAGGGTAAAAAAAAAATTCTAAAAAAATTATTTGAAATAAACCTTTTAAAATTATTTCATTAAACAATTCGATTTTCAACAACAGTGGATTTCCTAGACTAGTTGTAAACCTATGTAAGCCTGTGTAACATTAGGCTTAACAGCTTGTAAGTACCCTTAACATTGCATAATGTTTCAGCTTCCTCAAGAGAAAAAACTTCACCGTTCATCGACGTAAACAACTAATTGGAGACCGAAATATAACTATTATTCCAATACCTCTATTCACATACCGATACACGATGAGTGGGTACGATAAAGAAAATATGTAAAACAAAAATTGGACAGGAGAAATCCGAGGAGATTTATTTCCATATTGCCGGGGGTCGGTATAAATACAAATCGACTGCATGTAATATTATTATCCAATTGGTTTTGGACAGTTTTCACGGACGACGAAATGTTTTTTACTTTACCCGTGTATAAACATGTGGTAATGTAATATTCGATCATGGGCAAACCGTTATGCCAATATAATGCGGTTCCCATCGTCTAATGGCGCATTACGTCTGGGCAATTGAACCAAAATCTAATCATTTCCTACCATAGTGATACCTCTCATTATACATGTCTTGCGTCGTGCCTCCTATTTAAGTGTATGGGACTAGAGATGTTGTTTGTCGGTTTAAGAGGCCAGATGAAAATTTTCCAATCCAGAGTAGTTAGGCTTGCACATGTACATGGTATGTATTAACAGTGCGCCAAGATGGAATCGCCATTGGAATAAAATATTATAATTATCTGGAAACCGGTCTGTTTCGATTAATCAATATAGTAAAAAAAACCACGTACATTGACCTAATTATTTTTTATTGTATGTTATTTAAATGGAAAATGAAGGATACCTTTGCGACCACCCAAAAAAACAAAGGAAATTTTTTTTCTTTTACCAGACACTTTTTTTTACAGAGATATACCCATTATTCGCTGTGGAAGTGACAGCAAATTTAATTAATTTTTTAACCAGTCAATATTCATATGGACAAAATTGAAATAGAATATTAATATTACTATTATTTCGCAAATACATTACGTTTAATAAATCGTTTAACTCGAGCGTCATTTAAGACGCTCGAGTTAAAAAAAATTATAAATGATAATTAACGAATTATTTGTATTGAAGAAAAAACAGGTCGTTACCATTTAAACCGTATAAACGTCCTTAGCATACAAAAAGTAAGTATTATTTGACTTTATAAAAAAACGTTTTTGCATTACTTATATAATATATATATTTATATATATAACATAAATAAATGTTTTCCTTACATAGTGTTTTTATGCATGTGATCTCAATTTTTCACCATTTTTTCTGTTTTTACCCCCTCCCAACTAAGTTTTTTTTATAGAAACTTTTGAAACGGTAACGCATATATTTCATTAAACTTTAAAACTGAGAATAATGTACTTAACATTTTGACTGGTCGATAACCAGTTTTGGATAACTATTTTTGAAGTTATTGAAGTTTCAAGTTTAAGGCAGGAGGAAAGGTGGATACGTCTGTCCCGTGCAGCTACGATTGAAATATTATTTGAGATTTGTGTTCTTAAATGAAAGCGTAGTAAATATAGAAAAACCGAAATTCTTCAAAAACTTAAAAAATATTTTTAGTAAAACAAAACTTCAAAAACTAAAATTATTCCAAACACTTTATTATTTACAGGATGATTGGTTAAACTGTGACCCAAACAATTTCCTAAACAATATTAGACTTTTTAAGCATATTTTTTAATAGTTAAAGCTAGCCTAAATTGACAAAAAAAAATCAGAATGACACGAATAACTTTGTATATCAAAAGAAATAAGTCGACGTTCTAAAGTCTGTTATATAACCTTTCTAAAATCTTGTTTAATTAGATTTTAGCCATAACTTAGTATGTTAATTAATACGTTTTTTACAATCAATGTTTTTATTTGTTCAACTTGTTTTTTTTTTTGTTCAAGTGTGTATTATTTGACCGTTTACACATTGCAAATAGTTATTACTTTTTTAATAACTTATTCTAAATAATACATTTATAGCGTACAAAATATATTAAATATTGTGGAATAAATAAAAATCATGATTAGATTTAAAAGAGCAGGATTTTCTGGAAATTATGACTATTCGATAACAAATGTTTTAATTTTTAAAAATGTAGACAAATAAACTAACATGGCTGTATATATATATTTTTTTTTATTATAAAAATGGAAAGTCATAAATTATAATTTATAATTTTGCTATTGTTTTTGCTTGTATTATTAAAAAAAACGTTAAACATGACGCAAACTAATAAATTGTTTAAGAAATACTGAATTTTATCATTTCTAGGATTTCCCTAGGAAGTATTACAATGGTTTTAATATGTAAAATAGTATACATATGTATAGTTTCTTACCTATTCCTTTGTAATGTGAGATTCTCACATTTCTCACAAATGTGATATTATATTATATTTTGGTATTACATCTTTAAAGGTGATTTAAAACGAACTGGAGTTCTCGTAATCATTTTTAAAACATTATATATTTGGAATGTGTATAGGACAGAAATTCAAATTAGGGTTTGTTCAAAATATTTAGATTGCCGGATTTTTAGACAGCTAAAAAGTTATGGTTGGACAGATTTTTTTTTCAAAGTACATCGTCATAAAATCAATATTTTTTCAACTCGGCGACGAAGCTAAAATAAATTATTTTTAAATCCATCACAACCACAAACTTTCTGAGTAGTAATTTCGCTTTTTTTTTATTTGCATTACATTTCGCTTTGTCCGATCCCCTTAATAGATTGTTTTCAATTTCTTTATGATCTGCATATTATAATATTGGCTTTGTTTTGTGCTAGGTAACAATAATTATTATTCGTTACTCGATTGTTGTGTACTTGTCGCCAGCAGCGCCTCGATCGGATTAGATGAAAGGCATTGGCACCGGGATATTAATATTTATGAGCCTCGGAGACGGACAATAAGCAATGTATACCTATAGTGTAATATTATATACATATACGTATTTATATATTAACCGACTGTCTATACTGACTTTCGTATTTCTCTATAATATACAATCGCGGGCGTTTTATAATTTCCCAAGCGTTTCCATTAATGGAAAAAGATATTAAAAAAAAAAAATAGTATACCAATTATTTTATGGTTTTATACAATATACCAGCTAGGGCAGCTGCCGCCGCCGCTACCGGTCATTAAAAATACCTGGCTGTTGAAAATAACTACCTATAATCCTCATAGCTTTTATTTTAATATTTTTTGACTAGATTACACAGTTTATTATTTTTTAAATTTTAAAATCGTGTAGTGTCCTTTACGACTCATACGGGGTACAATATAACTGATACTTTTTTTTTTTTAATTCTCCATCCAACCAAATATAGACATTTAAAGTTCGTATTTTATTTGAAATTAACGTAAAGATCATCAAAAACTACAGTAGTAACGATCAACCAGTGTCAAGTAACCACTAAACATGTTAATTTGTCACAAATTAGTCTGTTTGAAAAAGTGTTTTAGACCTCTTCGGGGTTTCCAAATAAAAAAAGCCAGTACAGTGGGGTCGGGGCTGGGGGCATAGTGGGGATGGAGAGGTCACAGGTCTACAGATTTTATTATAGCTGAAAGAGATAAAGTCACTTTTAAATAAACGCCCGATGCGAATCTGTGGATAGTATGTTCAAACTAGTTATAGTGGTTTAAAAGATATCGTGGGACCAGCAATAATGTACTTGAAATATAATATTTAGTCTTGTGCAGGGTGGATACGATAAGGGTTGATCGTCTATCTATAAAAATGTACTGACGTAGTTACCTATATATCGTAATTAACAGTATAATAAAAATATTTTCATTACCCGTTGACTGTTGATTCACTCGCACATAGCAACCTAGAAACTGACTACGGCCAAAGTGTAAATTTACCCTATTTTTGGGGGTTTTCCTTAATAAAAAAAAAAATTTGACTACAGATTTTTGAGAAAATTGTATATTTTATAGTTCCATTTTAGATCTACCATTTTAGGTCTAATTTTCAGATCTAAATCTCTAAAACTTTGCTTGAAAAAGTGAAATAAAGAAAAAAATTCTATCCCTTCTAAGAGAAAGGGTGTATGATTTTTGTTTTGGTTTGTTAGTGTTTTCGATAGTAATATGTTTGAAAAACAATTCATATAAATTTGGAACATTTTCGACTATTTTTAAACAAGTTATAGAGCATCGTAATTTTAAGATGAAAAATTTGTAAATTTTTTAGGTGTTTTTCTCGATTTTGATGGGGAAGGGGTGACTTTTTTAAATTTTTGGCCTCTATAAAGTACCTTTCAGGTATGATTTCTGATCTATAGACTCACTACATGAAGTCTTCAACGTAAGACATAAAAAACACATCATTGTAAAAACAATACCTTTCTCAGCT